AATGAAGAAAATGACATATAGAAATGTTAGCCCTTTGCTCAGTTTTAAGAAGCTAATAAAAATATTGAAGCAGAGTCAAACCAAAGTCTACTCTTGCTGCCTAACTCATGATCTTTTTCAACACTTATATTCCAAGGACATAGTCCCCCCTTATCTGTGGTTTTGTTTTCCATGGTTTCAGTCACCCCCGGTCAACTGTGGTCAGGAAGCAGATGATTCTCCTGATGCATCATCAGAAGGTCAATAGTAGCTTAACCCTGCGTCACAAGGCCTCTATTATAGGTATATATGTATAGGGGGAAAGAACGGTATATACAGGGTTCAGTACTATCCTTGGTTTCAGGCATCCACTGGGGATCTTGGAACATATATATCCCCCAGGATACGAAGAAACCACTGTAATGGCTTATGGAGAATTCTGGGACTGAGATATTATGCAAAATACCCAAATTAATGAGATAGGGAAAACACTTATCATTACTGGACACTAGACAGTTACCCAATCCACTTACAAGACTTTGAGGCAAGCAGAATAAAGGAGACATCTAACTACGGCAAAGAGAAATGAAGCCGGACGCTCATTGAGGCAGTGAGGACAGATTTCATTCAGTAACACTGTTACAATAGAAAAAAGGGACCAGCATGAAGGAACTCAACTTCCCCGAAACAAAAGACTGAAGACTTTTTAAAGGTGTGCTAACAGAAAGACCGTTAATCTGTGTTAATCCGGATGTTAATCTGTGTTAATCCGGATGTTAATCCGAGTGAAGGTTTGTTTCTTAGTGCTTATCTAGAAGAGAGATAAACTTCTCCTATCTCTATGACAGGTGGCAGTGGCACATGTTAAAGCAAGGTGGTGCCCCCACTGAAGCTAGACCCTTATCCTCCCACAGGGACTGGGAGAGCGAGACTTACCTCCCTAACTCCCTGAATGTCTGCCTTTCAAAGAGATGGCTCTCAGGTTCTCGAAGAAATAGTTTCAGGTAGTAGATTTCCTTTCCAAGGCTCAGAGAAAAACTCTTTGTAGACACATTGCAAAGTAGTAGTGTGGATCCCAATCTCAATGTCCATCAGTGTTCCAGGTCTTATCATGCAGCCTTTGGACAACAGGGGGTTTTTCACAGAATGAGTATCTGGAAGAAAGGTCAGCTGACTAAACAGAACAGTAATGAGGGGAGTACCTTCCAGGCAATAACAAAAACTAGCTTTCTGCTGTGGGCTCAGGCCCCCCATTGGGAGAACTTTGTGTAATAACTTTTATTTTCTAGAAGTTCCTTCCTCTATGTAATCACAATCCTACAAAAACAGTTGGGCTTTCTAAGCTGTCAAAGCGATTTTTCCATAAATGGAAACTTTAGTCGTCTCTTCTTGTCTGGGATTAAAACAACTGAACAGTAATTACACAAATCATTGACATACTAGAAAAAAGGAAAAAAAAAACCCTCCGTATTTCAAGGAACAGGAGGGGGTCAGGAGAAGAATCTATGTATTCAGAGAAAAACACACCTGGTTACACAGTAAAGTAAGCAACAGGCGAAAACCCAAACCATCCTTAAAAATGAAACACAGTTTATAAACTCGAAATACAATTAGTTGAGGGGGTCGCCTGTGTGGCTCATTCGGTTGAGCGTCCTGCTCTTGATTTCGGCTCAGGTCACGATCCCCCGGTTTGTGAGTTCGAGCCCTGCATCGGGCTGTGGTCTGACAGCACAGAGCCGACTTGGGATTCTCTCTCTCCCTCTCTCTCTGCCATTCCCATTCCCCCTCATGCACACCATCTCTCACTTTCTCTCTCAAAAGAAAGAAACTTTAAAAAGTAAATAAATACGAACAAAAATACAATTAGTTGAATCAAGAGTCCGATTAATGAATTAGTTAATTGCTTAAGGCACTGCATTCAGAATACCTGAATTAGCCTGGTTGTATTTTCATTTCTCTGTATATTTATTTAGCTGTTGTGAACAGTAGTGTTCACTCCCAGAATTGAAGCTCAAAAAATAGAGGTACCTGGGTAGCTCAGTCTATTAAGCATCTGACTTTTGACATCTCAGAGCCTGCTTGGGATTCTCTCTCTGTCCTCTCTGTCCCTTCCCCACTCGTGTGGGCACACCCATGCACATGCATTCTCTGTCCCTCAAAAATAAATAAACTTAAAAAAAAGAAAGCTCGAAAAATAATATCCTTCCTAATCAAATACCTGTTTTGCTGGGTTTACTAGAATGAGTGTCAGGCCAGCAAAAGGAAACAGGAAAGCCCCAAGCATGTGTTCAGTGTGACTTTTTGGAAAACTTATAGAAAGAAATGCATATGAATAGATAAATAGGTAAATAGATGACTAAATGAATTAAATAGAAAACCAGATTATTTAAAACAAACTAAGCATTCATTTAAAACCGTTGTAAAAAAATAAATAAATAAATCGTCAGGAGATAGCAACTCTCCCAAGTGCCTTCCCCATTTCACAGATTTCCAAAAAAAACTTTGAAAATTTCATCTCTAATTTGAATGCTAGCTTGGGTCTCCTCCTTCCTCTTCCCCCCTCCCCTTTCTCCCCCCCTCCCTTCTATCCATTAAGCAGTTAAACATCTACTGAACATTTACCGTATTCTCTTTTGTATCCATGCCTGGATACAAAGAGGCATGAGGCCCCTTCCCAACTGGTTTCACATTGTATTTGGAGAATAAAGGGAGAAAAATCACTTACATCGTTCAAGCACCTCTGGTTTGGGCGGCCCACAAAAACTCCTTTGCTTTATTCCCAGCACTCTTTCCAGTTTTAATTTCAGGCTTACTACAAATGAGGTAGTTGACATAGGATCCTTTCTTAGAGGGCATAATTTTTTTAAATTAAACCAAAGCTTCTCTTTAAAATCAGCAAATCCTTCATGGTTAAAATGTGCCTTTCACCACTTTTTCCCAGTCCACCTTCTCTTTTCTGATTCTGTTCAGGCTCCTGCTACCTTATTGCTCCCACAGCTTCATGGTTTCAATTTGCTACATTGTTCACATTCGACATGGAACGTCTACTACCCCTCCTACTTTGCCCCTCTTTTCTTCCATTTTTAATGTTTATTTTGAGAGACAGAGACAGAGCAGGAGCAGGGGAGGGGCCGAGAGAGAATGAGACACAGAATTCGAAGCAGGCTCCAGGTTCTGAGCTGTCAGCACAGAGCCTCACGCGGGGCTCGAACCCACAAGCTGTGAGATCATGACCTGAGCCGAAGTTGGACGCTTAACTGACTGAGTCACCTTCTTTTCTTCCATTTTAATAGGGAGAAGTATACATAATGTGCATATATATGGCGCAGTCGGTTGAGCGTCCAACTTCAGCCAGGTCACGATCTCGCGGTCCGGGAGTTCGAGCCCCGCGTCAGGCTCTGGGCTGATGGCTCAGAGCCTGGAGCCTGTTTCCGATTCTGTGTCTCCCTCTCTCTCTGCCCCTCACCCGTTCGTGCTCTGTCTCTCTCTGTCCCAAAAATAAATAAACGTTGAAAAAAAAAAATTTTTTTTTTGAAATTTCCCAGTCTCCCCAAGGAAAAAATGCATTTCTGTGTCATTTTCTAATTGTGAGATATTTATAACAGTTTTACTCGCTATCCTTGTGTCCTTGAGCAATGCTGTACCCAGCATATTTAACACCCAGACTGTTATTTTTTCCTTTGCT